TCGGCACCCACACTGTACAGCCGAAGCTTTTGAGGTCTTGGCGTATTCCAGCCAAGTCAATCGACAGCCTGTTGCATGTGGGCACCCTGGGAGCTCTGGCCCTTGTCAAGTGATCGTACAAGCTGCGGCAGTCACTCAGAAATAGTAGCTCAAATCTTGTGGAATGACGTGCGAGCTTTCCTGTCGGAAGGGTCTCGAGGAACTTCGTGATGAACTCGCCAGATTCAGTAGCCGTACAGCAGGCCATTGTCTCCGCAGCGAAGGTTGACCTGCATTCGCGTTCACGTGCTCCACTTTGCCAGTCTCCATGATGCTGCCAAAACATTCATTTCCATGGATCACCTTCTTGTCAGCGAGAATATAGAGCCCACCGAACTGGGAGGCGATGGTTGATTTCGCCTTCTTCATCTTTGCCTCCCTGTGTGCCATTGGCCAATCGTGGAACTTCCCAATCAAGTTTTCTTCTTCCGTCACCCAGACCCCCAAGAGGATCTAAAAAATAGATCCCCTAATTAGGGACCCTAACTACTAAAGGGTAGTTGATAGGAACCGCCTTAGAGGATCTATTTTTCAGATCCTTTTGGGGGTCTCCCTAAACCCTAAACCCTAAACCCTGGGCAGCTTATAGAAGCGGTCTTCGTCCGACTGCGGAACCTTCGCCCAGTGGTAACAGAGCAGGATCTCGCTGCCAAAGCTCACCGGGAAGAAGTTTAGGGTTTAGGGTTTAGGGTTTCTCCTTGTGGTCCATAGCCCTGCGAGCGAGATGATTCGTGAACCTCACGTCGCCGACAGCCGACAGTCGGCGACTTCTACCATCATAGAAAACTCCGACCTGCAAATCAGGCACACGGACCCCTAGACCCTGAACCCTAGGCCCTAGACGCTAGACGCTAAAGAGAATTGAGGCGCTTCGGTTTAAGAATTGCAGTAATAGTATTTATTGTCTCAAAAAATTTTTGGTTTTCATAAGCATAGTAAGTAACAATCTTTCTACCTTTGTAACACCAAGCGAACCCTCAAGCCCGTGTGTTCGATGCCCCATGGTCCCAAGCCAGCCTAAGCTAACTCCGGGGCTTTCTTTCGTCCCGGGAGTCCTAGACACCAGCTACCCTTCAACCAATTCAATCAGAACTGCTGTTCCTACTAATCTCACTTTTGGAGTTTAGGGTTGGGCCCGGGGTTGGGTCTTGCTGATTTGGGCTGGCTTTAGGTGCGCTAAAGTCCGTTCCCACCCCGTTCTAAGTACCATGCCTGGTGCGACTATATCTATCTGAGTCATGGCTTCCTCATCCGGAAGTGCATGTGATAACCCTAAACCCCAAACCCTAAACCCTAAACTCAGATCCTGGTTCTTGTTTTTCCGGGCTCCGCCCTTGAAGTCTGCGCTCGGAACCCCTAACCCGTAGATGACTTTCAAGCACTCAGCCCTATTGTGAAGGGCCCAGGAAGTCATAAGATGAATAAGCCGCTGACATTGGCAACGCCAGTTGGCAGCTTGAACCCCAAAACTGTTACTACTCGGCACATTCTAATTCCGAGGATAAGAATCAAATGGAAACTACATCGTTAACAGCCGCAAGACAAAGATGATGGCTCGTAGTCTTGGCAGTAGTCGCCGTAGCCGTAGTCGTAGTCGAAGTTGTAGTCTTTGTCGCGTGGTCGTGGTCGTCGTCGTAGTAGTGGTAGTTTTTTCTTTAGTAGCAGTAGCAAGTGTAGCAATGCAGTAGCGGCTGTGCTTCAGACCCAAAGCCCTAAGCCTTAACATACATCGAAATCCAAATTCCAGAAAAAACCGTAGGTCCGTAAACCCTAAGCCCCAAACCCCAAACCTCAAGCCACATCAGCCTGGCCCCTAGTCCTTAAATCCTAAACTCGGCGAAAGGCTCAAGCTCCAGACCTCCTCCCCAAAACTAAGCCCGTGAGTTGCGAGTTGCGAGGGTCGACAGCCTAAGCTTCAAACCCCAGGTTCTGGAGTCCTAAACTCTAAATTCCCTAAATCTTACACCCGAAACCCGAAACCTCCCAGATATCCCCAGATGCTAAAACCCGTAGCCCACTGATAAGGGAGTTTCCGAAATCAAGGGGTACCTTATTCTGGGGTCCTTATAATGGGGATCCTACTATTTAGGGTACTATATTAGGGTCCCCTATTTTCGGAAACCCCCATAAGGACGAGTCAACGACTCCGATGCCATCCTGGCGCTCATCGACCGTCTCGGTCGGGCGTTTCGCCTTTCCGACGCCTGGCTCGGAAGTTGACTGTTTTGTAGGTAGTCTTATTAGGGGTACCCCTTAAAGGGTACCCCTTCTGAACCCTACTTGCGGCTCTCTTAAAAGGGACCTTATTGAGAGGGTCTATATCCCCAAGGGTCCCCCTAATCCTAGCTCCCATTTTGGGTGCAGCCAAAGGGTCCTCCGAAAGATTATGATCTGGGAAGTCAGTAGCTAAGCAGCCTGGCTAAATCGACATGCCAGGGAAGACGTCGGGTATGTTTGAGGGCAGAGATGTTAAGAAGATATTCCGAACCCTAAACCCTAAACCCTACAAGCCAGTTGTGAGTGCTGAAACCCTAAACCCTAAACCCTAAACCCTAAACCGTACTGCCTACACTGCAAGGCTGAAAGCAACAGAAACAGGCAGGTTTGAGCAGTGACCTGGTCGCTCATTCAGGCCCTAACGGTTTAGGGTTTAGGGTTTAGGGTTTAGGGTTTAGGTAACACCCTACATCCATAACTCCTAAACCCTGAACCCCCAACCCCCCCCCACACACGTTGTCTATTGGGCCGATAGCTTCCTGGAAAACCAGAGACCTCCAAACGCAAATCCAAATCCAGAGTCTTTAACTGTAGCTTCTTTCTGAAGTTTTAAGCCTAAACCCTAAACCCTAAACCCTAAAATTACGGAGATTCCAACGGCCGAAGCGGCTCAGGGCTCACATCTCAGGCTTGTTCCCTCCAAAAGCCGGGAGACTTGCTGGGCGCCAGACATAGGTGGTTGTCAAAATTATGGTCCCTTTTGGGGTCCTTATTATAATACGGCACCTATCATTTAGGGTACCCCAAAAGGGACCCTAATTTTGACAACTACCCACATAGTACTGAGGCCGTATCAGGGACCTACCGAGAGCCTTGCAGGACCAGTCTTAACATAGGCTCAGTGTACCCTAGGCCCTTCACCCATGAGCTAGCCCAAACTCCAAACCGGAATCCCTAAACCCTAAACCCTAAACCCTAAACCCAAACCGGAATCCTAAAGCAATGGCTTCCGAGCCGCCGGACCTCGGTACGCATGAAAGCCGTCTCGCTGCACTCGTGGCCCGCCGAGTGGCCAGCATGGAGCCCTTCGACGAAAGCTTCCTCAGGGCAACTCCCGCATGGCAAGCCCTGCGATCCTTCGGTGCTGCATTGAGGTGGACCAACAAGGATCTTTATGATCGGAGCTTTCCTGTGGATGCGATCCAAGTTTTCTGGAGCCACAGCTGGCATGGCAACAACTACGTGAAGAGGCTGCTCCTGCTTTTGCTTTACAACGGGCCTGCTGCGGCAACTGCCTCGACCATCTCCGTTTTGCTGGTGATGATTTTGCACATCGCTGGATACCTACCGGGGATCCTCCGATTTAGCAGAACACCGCTCGATCATGGACGCGAGATGGTCTTTGGCCCTTGGTGTACATTGACGGCAGGGCTGGTTTTCGTGGTTGTTCTTCTGCTATGGAAACCAAGGAGTCATGTCTTCCTGGACCAAATATGTATCAATCAGAAGGACGCAGAGCACAAGAAGAAGGGACTTCTCAGCATTGGTGCTTTCCTCAAACACTCCGAGCAGTTTTTGCTCGTTTGGGACAATACCTATGCTGTTTCCTGGCCTACCACTGCCGGGCTGTCTTGCAGTACATGCCTGGTGGTGAGCGCCGCGTTCTCTATGCTGCTGCTTTTGACGCTCGCACCCTCCAGCGCAAAGCCATGCCTTTTGCAGCTTGTGCTTGTGGTGAGGAGGTTCCTTCTAGGACACACGTTACTTTTGATTGCTCTGCGAATCCCTGGGCTGGCTCCCAGAGAACTGCAGCGGAGCGCCGCCTTCTGCTGCCCTTGATCACTGGTCTCGCCGCTCCGGCTTGGGAGCTGCCTGAGGTTGACGAGGACCTGCTGCTCGGCTTGTCGCAGGCTCGCATCCTGCATGGTGCGCTTTTGGTCGCCACTGATGGCAGCGCGCTTCAGTGCCCAAAAACTCCAGACTTGTTGTGGTTCCAGCACGCTGGCTGGGGCATCGCTGTTACTGAAAGCTGTGGCTTTCATGGTGCGGTACCAGGCCTCGACCGCTCTTCGGCTGCTGCAGAGCGCTACGCTCTGCTGGTGCTGGCTACTGCAGCTCACGCTTTGCAAGCTCCGGTGTGTGTTTTCACTGACAACGAGGCTCTGGTCACCTCTTTTCGTGGCCAAGGGCTGCCTCGTGACTTTGCTGCTTACTGGACTCTGGTCAAGCAGTTGCTACCCGAGGGGTCTTCGATCCACTGGGTGCCGGCGCACCAGCGTCATCCGGAGTGGACCGTGCCTCTTCCTGGCACCACTGAAGATGAGATTCGTGCTTTGAATCATCGTGCTGATCTGTGTGCTGGTGCTGCTGCGGCTCCGGCCAGACCCGCCTTTGAAGCTGCTCGGCTCAGATGTCAAGAGGCCTCTTCGTGGGCCGCCGCAGTCGTTAAGCGACAAGCTTTTCTTACCACGCATTGGCACGACGCTGTCTTGGAGCACATGAAGTCCTCCGAGCTGGCGCTGTGAGTGTTTCACCTTTTCCCTACGATAGGCTGCAATCCACCATCTTGGGCAGGATACGGCCTCGCAATGAACATGAACAATACCTATGCTGGGCGTTTATGGTGCCTGCTAGAGCTTGCAGCATTCCTGAAAAGTCATGAACAGCCAGATGAAAAAATTACAATCCGGCTGACAGCCATGGCTCCCTGCATTTTGGGCGCTGCGCTTGCTCTTTGAGCTTCAATGCTACATTTTATTTTGATTAGTGAGCAAACTCCTCCGGGCATTCTGGCGCTTGTGCTAACACGGTGGTTCCTTTTGTACATCAAAGCCTCATATCTGCGCCAGCTTTATCGGAACGCGGAGATCATGCTCACGCAGCTTTCCGAGTTTGAAGTCCAAGCTGCGGGCTGTCACTGCTGCAATGACGCAGAGGCTTGTAATGCTAAGGTCTGTGATCGTGAGATCATCACTCGGTGCCTTCGAACGTGGTATGGGTCGGTCGAAGCCTTTGAGGTGACTGTAAGGACGCGTATCCGGAGCGTGCTCCCTCGCCAGTTGGGTGGATTGTTGTTTCCTTATGGCTGGCAAGTCATCAGTGCCTTGCCTCTGTTCTGGGGTTTTGCAGATCTCATAGCGGCCCGCGCGCGTGACGGAAACTGGAAGGTGGCTGCAATCATGTTGGTCGGAGCCGTTACTTGGTGCTTCTTTCTGTTTCCGTTCTTCTTTCAGGCGACGTTGCTGTTGGCAAATCATTGTCGCCAGCAGCAGAGCCGCATCTGGCAGGACAGGCTCAAAAGCCTTGCGGTGGCATTTGTGCCGACAATGCTGTCCTTTCTTGGCCAGTGGACAGCGAGTCTCATGGCTGATGTTGTTGCTGTGGTCGTTTGGATGGGTGGCTCAGTGATTCTGGCCGGGTCTTCATGGTTAGCTCTTCGGTATCAGGCCCGCCAAACCGCAGTCACATCATATTCTGTCGAAAAGGATGTGGGGCAGCACTGTGTGGCTGTTGTGGCTGGAAAGCCGTTGGGGGATGATGACACTAGTCCAAGGACAACACCCGTGTGGGGGACTGCTTAACTTTCTGCGGTCCATGCGTCTAGCCATCCATCCATCCATCTGCCTATCTACAAAATTACACATAGACGTATACATATCATATTGCATACTCTCATACGTATTAAGTTACCTAGACTTTAAAGAGTAAGCTGCATTGCACAGGGTGCAGTGTGCCATTCCACTTTGGAGTTTTGCTGGCATTCGGTCAGACCAGCTCAAGACTCTTCGTGAAATGAGGCCGGTCGCAAGTTAGGGCTGAGGGTTTAGGGGGTTTAGAGCTTAAGGTTTAGGAGGTTTAGGGCTTAGGATTTAGGGGGTTTACCCTAAACCCTAAATCGTTTAGGGGGTTTAGGGCTTAGGATTTAGGGGGTTTACCCTAAACCCTAAACCCTAAGGGCTTAAGGTTTAGGGAGTTTAGGGCTTGGGATTTAGGGGGTTTAGGGCTTAGTAGGATTTTTCGGCGAAGCCGCAGCCTTCACAGGAACCTCGGCTTCCTGAAGCCTGCTAAGGCGAAGCCGGATTTCCGTTAGAACAGCTGTTTTCTGTTTAGGGTTTTAGGGTTCAGAATATCTGTTTTCTGTTTAGGCTTCTTACGCAAATCCCTGGTTGCTACCATCCCGTGCCGTGTGCTTCGCCCCCTGCTCACAGTCTGGACACGTTTGGCAGCTTGAGCAGTTTAACAGTTTGTTCCGAGTCTCTGGGGATTTCTCCCCGGCCGGAGCTACATTACCGGATCAGCCTCTTATCATGCTCACATGCCTTGCGGGCGCTTTTGAATGGGCCAAGATGCTGGCAGCGAAGCTGCCGGTAGTACGGTTACTATTTCCGGTGAGCAAAGTCATCATATCATGCTCTTGTTTTGACCAAATCCAAAACCAGCCTGGAGATAAGCTTCAGTGTTTAGCTTTGTGTCAAGGTTGATGTTCAGAGTATGTTTTCTGGTTGGTTTGCTTGTTGTGCTGGTACTGGGTTTCTGAACCTACTCGTGCGTCATTTTCTCAGCTCAATGTGGCTGAGAGATAGTGGCTTGCGCGCAGGAGGCCACCATCGGCTTCCCGTGGAGTGTCCGAAATCTGGAGAGGTGAAACCCGAGATTCCAACATGCCGCGAGGATTCGCCGCTAATGCTGAACCCGACCGTCTTGTGAGTCAGGGCAATGTCGGAGCTCTGCATAACATGTATTCCTAAGGCTTATTACTTTCGTCGATTTAGGGTTTAGCGTCCCTAAACTCAGCGCCCCAAACGGTAGTTCCAATCCCTTATTTTGATGACATCTGTTTCTAGCATAGCATGTGGGTGGTTGTCAAAATTATGCTCCCTTTTTGGGTCCTTATTATAATACGGCACTGCACCTATTATTTAGGGTACCCCAAAAGGGACCATAATTTTGACAACTACCCATGAAGAAAGTAATAGTACGGGTGATCAATTGACTCGATACGTTCGTCCTCGACTCGGAACTGTGAACCTTACACCGGGAATGCCTCGCCTCGGATCTTTAGGGCTCGTTTCGGGTTTAGGGTTTCCCGAACCCTAGACCCTAACCTTAAACCCTAAACCCTACACCTTAAACCCTAAACCCTAAACCCTGGTTAAGCTCAGGTTGCATGGACCAGCGAGGCTGACGACTGTTGGAACTGGTCTTGCAACGCCGCCCGGCATGTGGGTCGCTCTCATAATTATTAGGGTCCCTTTCAGGGTCCTTTTTATGAGGGTGCCCTAAACCCCAAAACCTAAACCCTAAACCCTAACCATTTTTGTTTATTTTGGGGACCTCTAAGGGTCCGCACCTTGCACCCATGCCCAGCGCCGGGACGGTTGCCCGTAAGCCCCGAACCCTAAACTGCAAAACTCCGAGCCCCTGAGCAGGGCGAAGTGCGCCTCGAGTCATCTGTCGAAGGGGCAGTACCAGACAGATCGGAATAGCTCCCTGATACTAAAAATGGCAACATATCGCTCGAAACCCTTTCTAGTTATTGAGGTGCTCAAATTACGCAGAGGCTTCAAATTCTTCGCGTCTTGTGTCATTTTCCTGGAAAATATCGGAATGCTGCGGTGCTTCGCCTTCTCCGCTAAACCCCCATGTAGGGCTTAGGGTTTGGGAGGTTCCACCGCCGTGTTACCAGATGCTAGAAGCCATAAAGTCAAGTTCGACATAGTACGGGCATGGGTTGAGGATTTGCCTCTGTTTTCACATGAAGAAAATGAGGAGAGTGATGTTCCAACTTTCTGGCTTCTGCCTCAAGCTATCCTTAAGCAGAGCTCTGATCTATGAAATCTGGCAGGACAAGATAAGCCCTGGTTCTAGAAACCCTAAACCTAAACCCTAAACCCTAAACCCCCCTCTTCTTGTTCCAATGAGCTGCCCTCCAGCAACCCGAAACCTGGTAATGTAGGGGCCTTAAAAATTAGAACAGGGCTTTGGGATGTATTATATTACAACCATAGTAAGGAACCCCCCCCCCCCAAATAGTGAGGTAATGATGAAGGCCCTTATAGTACAGCAGGATTCAAATAGAAGGTTCGTAGAGCGGGGAAAAAAACCCATTGTATTCAGCTTAATCCCTATCCCTTACTCCCCCAAACCTCAGTCCAGTAGCCCTAGATGCTGAACTCTTGATCCACAGTTGGCCCTTAGCCCTACCGCCTGAATAACTACCCATAATTCTACTAATTGTCGTATACACCGAACAGCATTCGAATTGTCAAGGTCCCTCTCGTAAAACCCTACAAGCCCCATTCTCAAATCCTGAAACCTGGGAAAGCCTTATTCTACCCACATTCGAACCCCCACTGTAGCAACCCTCCCTAAACCCCTAAAGCCCTAAGCCCTACAACCCTAAACCCCTAAAGCCCTAAACCCCAAAACCCTAAAACGCTAAACCCTAAACCCCAAAGCCCTAAACCCTAAAACCCTGAACCCTAAACCCTAAAACCCTAAACCCTAAAACCCTTAAAGGGAACCCTAAACCCTAAAACCCTTAAAGGGAAGCCTATGCTAGCTCTTAAGGGCTCCTTTTGTTAAACGAAGCCCCGAGTCGCTCCAGGTCCAAGAGTTGGACGAGTCGAGAGTCAGCTACCTCGATGCTGTCGACGTGCCCCGGTTTTGGGGGCATTTGGGTTTCGGGTTTAGGGTTTAGGGGGGGATTTGAGGTTTAGGGGTTAAATAGGGTTTAGGGTTTAGGAGGGGTCAGGGCAGGTTTTAGGTGAAAGGGCTTAGGGGTTTAGGGGTTCAGGGTTTCGGGTGTAGGGTGTTTGACTCTAGAGTGTGTCGTTGTGGGTTGAGTTGACGAGTTTAGGGTTTGGGGTGGCTGTGTCTTTTGCTGAATTCATTTACAGGGTGTCTACAATTACAAGGGTTGCTATGAGGGTTTCGGGTTCTGGGGTCGGGGTTCAGTTTCGTGGTGTCGGCTTCTGACTCAGGGTTCGGGCCTTATTATAGGGCTTAGGGCTATTCAACGCCAGAAGGCGTTTGCTGTTGATTCGAAAATCCAGAGTTTGATATCTTTCTCTTTGATTGTTGTTCTGGTTTTGAACCTCGATGTTGTAGATGTGCCTGGGCATTTAGGGTTCATAGCATTGGGTTGGTCTTCAGAGCGGCTCGCGTGCGTTGCGTCGGCTTAGGGGTGCTTCGATTCTGTCAACCTACCTGGGCAGTTCCGGAGTTTATCTTGCAGCTTTCGTTGGTAGGTTTGACGATTCCTTGAGAACGGCTCTTCACTTCTGTTGTTGCAGGTGTATTTTGACGAGGACGCGGAGTGGGTTGACATGCAAGCAGGGCCTCTAAACACAGCCCAGGTGCTGCTGGAGCTGGAGTCCTTCTGAGACAAATCTGAGCGCTGTGGACTCCATGTTGGGCTTTGCAGCTCGTAGGGAATATCGCAGCCTTTCTGGCTGCCAATGCAATTCCGGAAGAGATCCTTATTGTAGTTATACTACAACATCTTCGGAAACCCTGCTCTAACTATTGAGGCCCCTACATTATAGTTGCCCTTAACGAGTGATAGACAGCCGAGAAATCGTGTGGGGCTTGAGATAGAGGTTGGCTGGAGGCTGAGGCTAAGGGGACAGGGTTCAGCGGATAGGGTTTAGGGGAGAAAAGGCACACGTTTTGGGAGTTTACGGTAGAGTTAGCAGTTATCAGGGAGTTGGTGTGGTGGATCTGGAATTCGGATATTTGCCCCGTTTCGCAAAACTCTAATAAGCCCTAAACTCGTAAGTCCACGGTAGTCGAATCCCCAAGCTTGACACTAGTAGGGCTTTAATTTAGTAGGAGCCCTAAAGCCCGATTGCCTCGGTTTAGGAGTTAGGGTTCATTAAACACATGTTCGGGCCTCGGTTGAAGAACGGCAGCTGAGGCAATGCTGGCAGTCATCAAGTCCGGTTTCAACAGGGTTCATTAAACAAAATCTATTGCCAATCTCATGGCATCGGACACTGGCTAGCTTAACCCCTACGCGTACCTATACTGAGGAGGCCTCTTTCGGGGCCAACCCCAAAGTATACTTCCACGCTAAAAAAGGTGACGGGAACGGTCGCTGTAGTAGTTATAGTTATAGTTTTTTACGTACTGTTATTAGTGGCAATAGCTTAGAAGTAGCAATAGCAGTAGCAGTGGCAGTAGCAGAGGCAGTAGCAGTAGCAGTAGCAGCAGGAGCAGGAGCAGCAG